GACTAAGAATTAAGTACTAAGCTGGTGATACACTCGGGTACCTAAACACTACCAGCAGAAGTATCAAGCCAATGTTAGAATATGGAAAGAACACTTCTTAAATTTTGTGCATCTGAATCAGTTTTTTTAACAACCTTCTTCAGGAACGCTTGAAATCTTCATTTTTTTAAAGCCGATGTAGTAAAAATAATTGGGACCTATATGACGAAATGTGGTTCTAAACAGAAAAGCAAAAGTATCTAAGGTTATCCTTTCCTGACGGATTTTGAACCTTACTTCTTAATTCTTTCTGTTTTAATCAATGGAAGATGTAAGAAATGTATATTATAAATCATGTCCCCAAACAAGCACTGACTACTAGGTTGATGGTGCACTCGAGCTGAAGTGGTATCCACCAAGTGCTAGATAATTAAAGTAACACTTAAAACATTTGATATGTTCGAACCAGTTATCTGCAATAACATATATTAGGAAAACTTATAACCAAACATTTGAAAGCCGTGGATGAAAAATTCTTAAAGAGCTAAATTTTTGTTTCTTTTCAAGCAAACATAGGATTGCACTTACAATGGGTACTTCAGAATAACAGTTATCACTATCAAAGTAAGGTAATAGCTCTTGAATTCGATATTAAGTTTATGAAAAGTTATGAAAAAACTATCTGATGATCAAGATCTATCATTCACATGGAATTCTAAATGTTCATTATTTTTCCTTCTTTTTCCTACAGTTTATAAGAATAAAGGTATTTCTAACATGTAACGTTGATGTATCTTTTTTTATATTTAGGATGGACATTATCCTGAGTGCATCATTTGTAAACGACGCTTTTCAGAATGACCTTTTGTTTTTTTGCCATTGTAATTTTGACCCAAAATAAAACTACGGCTATATATGTTAACTTATTCTTATTTATGAACACACATGAAAAATGACCCAAAACCATTACCTTTGAAAACAGAGAGTGTGATGGGTAACCCTTGCTTAAATCAAGTAAAAGAGAGGCAAAATATACCAAAGGAAATTCAAACTCATAAGTCAAAAGTAAACCGACAACGCCATGGCTAAAAAAGAAAATTGCCAACAGACAAACAATAGTACACAAAATACAACATAGAAAAATAATGACTGAGAAACACGAACTACAAATGTTAGGTAGGTAAATTTATATTTTACACCGTTTCGAATGGAATGAACTTGCTTGATTTGAACTGACATTTAATTTCTAGTGTACAACCTCTCGATATTAACAAGAATCTTAAGGTGTTGGTGTAGTTGACTAGGGGGGTTACATCTTCTATCTTCAATGATATTTGTTACTTAATCTGAAATATAACTGTCGAGAGTGGATAAATATCGTATTACACGAGATTTAGTGGTGGAATCTGTTTCTCTAATGATTTTTATACAATATGCAGGTTTATTCCTTCTTATAAAACGATCTGCAAAAAAATGTGTTCTTTCTTTGTGACGTCATCAGCATGGTCGCCTTTTTCATGACGTCACAATAGGAAATTCAGGGGAAAGCAAGAAAATTAATCGAATTTTGACCAATGAATAACTGAGATCAAACGAACCAAACGTTAATTAAATAAAAATAATCAACATGTCAGGAAAAGGATAAATCGATTAAGAATTAGAGAAACAAACTTATCGTATGTATTGCATGATGGCTATTTGTTTCGTTCATGACGAAATCTTATATAAAGAAAATTAATTGGTTTACCATACATCTTGCTACATATATCTAACTTAGAATCGTAGTGTAAATCGTTTTTTTGTTGTTGATACTTTTCTCAAAATGTTTTATTTTTTCTTTATTTGGTCTATGCATTCGTGTAATTTCGGCTTTAAAATGTGATTAAGGACAAAAGCTACATGTATTAAGTTAGTAGTTCCACCATACAGTATGCATGTACAATTCATCACGTGGCTTCATTTTGTTTCAACGTTTTCTGGTCCAATCGCCTAAAATACTGATTTAAATCAATTGTAAAAATTTCGCCACAAACGCCGATAGACAGTTTTGTGTACCTCTTGTCCCAAAATTTTTGCTAACGTCTATTTCGGAAACGGATCATTTCTTCTGAATTGTTTTATATTTTCAAAATATATGCCATTGAAAGAATTTGCAACATTGATTATCCTTATCCAAGTTGAAAAAAACTGTTTTCTGTACGACAAATCATGGCTTTCTTTACAAGGAAATTTTCCAAATAGACGATTTCGAGAGTAACGTTAGCTTAGTTTATGATGGCTTTATATCATCAATGATACAAATAGGTTCAGACCAAGGGTTGACAAAAATCCGGCTTTTATGAGTATTGCCCAGCCCAGTGGGAAATACTGGAAACCCGGGTTTTACTGGGTTTTCCCGGTAGTTCTGGGCAATAGTGAGTAATATAAAATACTGGCCTTAATCTTTAGGAGTATTCAGTGATTAATTACAAATGCAATGTTAAAATGTTATATACAGGACATAATATTTTAATTTATATGTTAACTTGTTTGAGTGTATTATTATATAATGTATAAATTTGAATAAGTATTGGTCCTTTAACTCTAAGACATACATGAACATACATAAAGAAATGTGCAAAGTTTTTTCAATAAGATTTATAGCTATAGATAATCCTTTTAAACCATTGAAATTTTGCATTCTGTCTAAATTGTTCAAATCGTTAACATGAATCAAAATAATTTAATTTGGTTTTATATAAAGATATATATATATATATAACCTATATATAGAGTAAACATTTAATTATATGTCAGGAAATTAAATTACGATTCAACATTTTTTTTGCAAATATGAATAAATATTAATAAGACAACAATTTAACGGCAAAAAAAACCCCAAAATACATCTAGAGGGCAACATACAGTCACCTACATCAGACATATACAGGTGTTAATGCAACTTATAAAGCTTTATATCGTTCCTAGTCTATAATCATTGGGAATAAATCAAACAGAAACTACCAAAGTTATACAATTAAAACCCAAATTCTTCCAATAACCAAAAAATTAAGATATAACTAACGACAACTACTGATCAGTTTCCTAATATGAAAAGTGGCGATTCTAAACTAGTTTTTAAGATCTCAATCCTTCCTTTTTTTATTTTCATCCAGAACATTAACAGAAAGTACACAAAAGAAAAACACGAAATAAAGACTAGTATAGGAAAAGCACTAAAACATAACGGAACAAAAGGTAACAACTCCATCCCCTAAAATCCTCCCGCATAAAAAAAAAATAATTTCTATCGTACCAAAGAATGCTCAAGGTTATTGCAAAGTCTGCTGAGAAATCATATCATCCTACACATAAAATTGATGATTTGATCATACAGCAAAGTTATGAACTGTACACGGAAACATTGTATTGAGCAATGCCATAGCACGAGTCCCACAGAACAGCAAAACAAACATTTGAGTATTGCTACAAATTATAATTAAGCGAATTGATATTTAGCCAAAGACTTGATATAAAATATAAACAACACGTTATTAACTTGATACGTCCAAAGGTTCTAGATTACCTTCATGAGGAAATCTCAAAACCGAATATTTGAGATCCAAGGATGTATAGGGACCGAAAACAGTTGAAAAGCTATATAACCAAAAAGGACTTAAAAAATAGCCAAATCCATATAAGGTCAACTTTTCCTGTTGATATTTGGTATTTGCTTCTTTTTCGAAAATCACGCTTCATTTAATAATGAGAGCAATATATGGATCCTCTGAGGCCAAACATTTTGTCCAGGTAAGACATTTCGTTTTGAGTACTGTTTGTTTCATGTAATCTAGTACGTTGAAACGTCGACTCAGAGTGTTGATGTAACACAAAGCTCGATTCATATCTATATTATATTAACATGTTCTCGTCCTGAATATGTATTTGATTTTGCATCCGATCTTAGAGGGTGGCATGTTTGTATCTTCTAAACTCCTTTCATACGGGCGAATCAAGCAAACTGAAAGTTCACATAATTCCAAGAAATATTTTCCATCACTTTGATAACTTGACCCAATGACACTGCTGTAATGAATTTCAAGCTGCCAATTACTTTATTTAAGGATGGTTGCTACTCTTGTTTTTGACCTTTTGTCAGATATTGAGGATCCTCTAGTTTTATCAATGTACTGCCAATTAAAATATTCCCCGCTAATCCCTACTTTTATTTGCATAATTTCATTATATATAGTTTAAAAAGCCATTTTTGAAAATTTTATAAAATCCTTGTAATTTTTTCAAAGTTTTTGAGAAAAAAAGGGGACAATGTTAAATGTATAAAAAATCTAGAGAGAATCATTTCCCGCCAAATTTTCAAATGATTTTATCTCAAAAACGAGGCCAAGGACCTTTCATATTTTCTAATTTTTAAGTTCCGTTATTTATATACTAGCAATTTATAACAGTCTTTTAAAGCTTTTATTTTGAACAGGATATCCTTAAGTATTTAATGCACATGACGTGTGGTTGATTCCACCAATCATTTCATACCTATTTTAACCAATCAATTGACGAGTCTCTATCGAAATATCCCATGACTGGTGTGTGTGTGTGTGTTTGTGTGTGTGTGTGTGATTAAAGTAAAAAAAAACGACCGACGCAGAAGAATCGTATTGCTTTGATTCTGATTATCGTTAAATTAGCTACTGTGTAAGAATCTAAAAATAAAAAATGTTCTTAAAATGTAATGAAATTTTGAATTCAAAAAGACTTCATGGACATTTGTGATACAATGCTAGAAATATTGTGTTTTTGTATATTTGTAATTTTTTTAATAGGACACAATACACCAAAATAAGCAAATTTTTATATGAAAGACAATATATAGCTTAACATCCATTAACATTTTGGTTTTGCCAGGGAATGTTCCTCTCGCTCGCCATTTATAAAATACCATTGAATTTGTCAAAATCCACCAAAATGTAGTTGTTCATATCTTAAAAAGAATATGCAATTATTTTACACTTTTTATTTGCATCAAATTTTAGCTGAAAGATATACATTATCGGTTTGAAACGCGCGTGTGGCAAACTAAATTATAATGCTGGTATCTTAGATGAGTTCTGACTACATGTTTGGAATGCTGTGCCTTCTAGATCTCTTAATTTCCCTTTAGGTCTTTTTGAGAGAGTATGTCTTGCTGAAAGTTTCGCTATGTGTTATCTCTGTTTGCATTGTATACTTTTAATTTGATTTCTTTTATTTTTCGTCGCATTGTTCATAGGTTTGTTTGCAACATAACTGTTTTTGTATCTAACACTGTTATTTACTGGTTCATATATTACAAAACGAAAACAATTGTGTCTTTATTTTCTTGTTACGTCTTTTTATTCCCTGTTCCTTTGATTCTGACTTTGCCTTTCCCGTTTAACCCTTCTGTGAAACGTTGCATTCCATATTTCAATATATCCATCATTTTGTAAACAGTTATTACCAATCTCAAGTAGAAGAATACCAGATTTAGGTACCGTTATTGAAAATTGGGTACAATCATCTTTACAATCGAAGGCGCAGTTTTCTGAGCAAACTTGCTTGCAATAATATCCAAATGATGAATTCGAAGCACAGTCAAGTTTATAATGGTGAGTAGTATCATTCATAGCACAAATTCTTGTAACTTGTGCAGGTAAATCAAAAACGCAGTTTACAATATATTCTCCCTTGTAGGGAAGAAAACATTTCATGAAGCTCACGTTTGTGCGAGGAAAGGGAAACTGGCAAAAAGCTGTAATAGAAAGATATTTGTATTCATTATAATTTCTAATTTTTATTGTACACGAGAATATTATGGAGCAACTGTTTTTCTTTTGTTTTGCAAATGCAAGAAATGCTATACAAATATTTTTTAACTTTTAAATATTTAAGTATTATACTCATTTTGATTGACAAGTGTTCTATAATTACATTCGGTACCAAAAGTTTTGTAAGACAAACATATAAAACATTTGAAAGCATGAAAGCAAAAGGGTTTCAAGAATACCTTAGCTGTATTTGGCAAAACCTTTTGGAATTTTGGGTGTTCAACGCTCTTCCACTTCGCAATTTATTTGTTCGTTAAACGTTTTTGATTCGAGCGTCACTGTTGAGGCTTTTGTAGACAAAACGCACGTCTGGTGTTCACAGTTTCAAGCCTGGTAATTTTGTTGGGTTTTTGTTTTTCAACAGAATAACCAAAAACGTCTAAAATGGATATTTTGTCAAAACTTTGAAGTAAAGTTAATATTTCTAATATAAAAAAATGAGACTTTAAAATATTACCTGTATACAACGGATTTCATTTTATTCAGCAACACAGAAGTAATAACCGTTATTTAAATAAAATAAACACATGCATGGTACACATCTCTCTTAATTTATATTATATAAGTTATACTTACGATCATTATTCGGTGGAATGATCCTTTCGAAGTCAGGGTTTTGTTGAAAATTATTGTCATTTGGTTTCGTAATGTATGTATCATTCTAAAAAAATATCAATGGCATGCTTATTTATAGATACCAGCCAAAACAGCACACTTTAAAATTATCTACGGACGTAGCAATGGATGCGAAGGATAATATTAGAGAAACATATTGAACACAAACCAAAACGTGGGTTCTCAATGCTCTTCAATTTCGTACTTTATTTGGCCTTTTGAACATTTTTTTTCATTTCAGCGTCACTAATGAGTCTTTTCAATACGAAACGCGCGTCTGGCATAGACAATTTAAATCTTGGTATCTATGATAAATTTGTTGACATGTATGTCTGTGCAAACGTTTAGTAACATGTCGTGTTTTTTTTTGGAAATTGGAGATTTTATGATTTTAAGACAAATTTAAAAACTTTTTCGCCGATTTTGTGTGCTTTCTATACAAATGTTCACCTTTTTTGAAAGAATTCAATAAGTTATATTTCAGAAAATGAAAGAGATACATTCTTTAATTTTTCGATTTTCAGTTAAAGTTCAACGAGTCAAAGTTGTATTCCAAATTATACCAAAATCAGTGACATAGCCTATATTATGTAACTTGATTTTAAGACTTTATGTCTGATAAGTCTTTCAAATTCAGCTAATCTGAATAAGAAATTGTTATGCAACGCTTGTATGAATACGACGTTTAAACGAGAAACCAAATATACTTTTGTGACTATATAAGTATTGGGTACGGTAAGGGCTATAGTCTACCCATATTTAGTCCATAAGTTAAAAATGAAAAGTATTTCAAAGTGAAATTAAACCATATGTTCGAGCTTTTTCTAGAAAAGCGTTGAAATTTCTACCCTTAATAGGCCAAAATAAGGATTTTGGTGATTGTTGATAATATCCATTTGGATTTAAAATACATCATTTGTCGACGCACGGGCAATATGAATGTGGTCGTAAAACCAATGGAAACTGGCCTATTGTTATAAAATGTGTTCGGAAATTTCAGAATGTGTTAATGTTGACGTAAGTGGAAGGATGCAAACAGGTTAAGTAAAGAAAAGTATTTTTTCTCTAGTCATTGTTTTAACGATGCCTCATCGTGATGATAACTTCCATTTAATCCTAATATAGAAAGGACTTTATCGAACATATTCCGTTAAAAGTGAAGTAATCATATATAGTTTTTAACAATTCATTATTTGATAGTTACCTTGCTTGTGATAACACCTATTACTATCAATAAAACAATCAGCAATACAGATAGAACAATGATAACTGTCCGCAAAAATTTAATGTTGGAGACAAAATCACAATATGAGCCTGGTCTCCCAGCTTGATGTGGCTTATCTTCAGTCTCAGCATGATGAGGATTATCATCAGTTCGGGTTGCACAATATTCCGTCATTTGACTTTGAAATCAAACAAGGTACAATACATCCAAGTCATTGCATAGTACTTTCTTTTCGCTACATTTATATAGCTATATTCAAAATTTTCAAGTTTTGTTTTATTTTATTATTTTAAGCAGTTGTAAATTACAAAAGCTAAATATTCTTTGAACGTCATGGAAGAAAATTGAGACTTTACAATATAATCATTCATATCAAAAGAAGATTTAAAATATTTAGAGGTATTTTCCAATATTGTTTTACCCTATCTATTTTTAACCATGATAGTGAATGAATATTAATAAAAGACATTTAAATAGCAAATATTTTGGATGAATAATATCTTTGACCACGACCAAAATGTGTGATTGTACTTAGTTAGGCTTTGCGAACAGTGTATTTTTCAACGTTGTTTTTCCCGGTTGCAATATCATCGGATGTGTCGGGTGTTGGTGGTCAGTGTAGCCTGTTGTACTCTCAAGTTTTGCTTGCGATTTCGTTTATTCTTTTCTTACGACCACATCATTTTTGCGTTCGTATTATGTTATGGCGATGTCTGCGTCCGAAGACATTTGTTGTCCAAAGACATTTGTCGTCCGAAGACCTTTTAAATTCGCAGAAAATAACTTGAGTATAAATGTATGGATCTCTATGAAATTTTAACAGGTTCCATACCGCAATAGAAAGGTTGGGATTGATTTTAGGGGTTATTGTCGAAGCTGTGTAGTAATTAGTAATTAAGACAGAACAGGCGCAAACAACAAGTATTTATCTTGTTGTCAGAAGACATTTTGGTTCGCAATTAAATAGCAATCCATAGACCTATACTCAAGTTATTGTCCAGAAACCAGAAAATCCTATTGGCCCCTTTAACTTTTAGTCCCTAATTCCTAAACGATTTGGGCAATGGAAACTTGTGGTAAAATTTCATGGAGATCCTTACTCTTTTACACAAGCTATTGTCCTGAAAATAGAAATTGCTTGTTTTTGGCCCTTTTTTGCCCTTAATTATTACACAGCTACGACAATAACCCCAAACATTAATCCCAACATTTTTATTGTTGTATGGAACCTTGTGCTAAAATTTCATAGAGATTTATACACTTATACTCAAGTTATTGTTTGCGAACCAAAATGTCTTCGGACGACAAGATAAATGCTTGTTTATTGGTCCCGGCCCTTTTTGCCCTTTAATTACTAAACAGTTACGACAATAAACCCCAAAATCAATCACAACCTTCATATTATGGTATGGAAGCTTGTGCTAAAATTTCATAAAGATCCATACACTTATACTCAAGTTATTGTCTGCGAACCAAAATGTCTTCGGACGACAAATGTCTTCGGACGACGACACAGACATCGCCATAACATAATAAGAACGCAAAATATTTTGCAGTCGTATAAAAAGAATAATCGAAATCGCAAGCAAAACTTGAGAGTACAACATACCTACTCTCAAGTGGGATGTATAAAGACACACCCACGTTCGTTTAGATCTATAAAGAGGTTAAACTCCTAACTATCCTACTGTCTGTCGATACATTTATTTTTGGCATTGCACTAGTCATGTCTTCTTTGACTGTCCATGACGTTAAAATACTAAATCCCTGGGATGTGTTTTAGTTGATTTTAGTCTCTGATGCATGATTTTTTATTATTAATTGTTTTGGCTTTTAACTAGCTAGTAACTGAGTAACTGCGAGTACTCTCAAATCGTACTTTCTTGTTTAGTTGACCTGTTGATACTAATTGTATTGCTTTTTTGTTATTTAATGTTATTCAGGGTTATATCTGGTCTATATACCAGCTTTGATAAGTGTTTGGTATAACTATAAATTTTCACTTCGTACTATGAACATCATAATTATTATTTTGTAAAAATATTTCCTTTCTCTATTGGTACTGTACACGTATACCTAACAACAAAATTATTTTCATTTACCTGTGTTTAAAGTTATTGCAAATGGCTGATATTTTTGTTCGAGCATATTGTTTTTCTTTAATTGTTTAACATTTCTTACCGATATAATATGTTACTTTTATTATTCTTCCCTTAGTTTATTTATTTTGTATTTACATTGTGTCATAGGTCAAATTTATTTGTTCAGTGTATGTTCAATGGTGTTAATATGTCCTTTGATTGAGTTAAGCTATTACAGTTGATATTTTATAGTGTGTCTTACTATGTTGTGATGTTACACTATTGTTTCAGAAAAAGGGTGAAGGTTTGGTACCATTAAAACGTTTAAACCCGCTGCATTTGTTCGCAGCTGTCCTAAGTCAGGAATCTGATGGTCAGTAGTTGTCGTTTGTTGATGTGGTTCATAAGTGTTTCTCGTTTCTCGTTTTTTATATAGATTAGACCGTTGGTTTTCCCGTTTGAATGGTTTTACACTAGTAATTTTTTGGGGCCCTTTATAGCTTACTGTTCGGTGTGAGCCAAGGCTCCGTGTTGAAGACCGTACTGTGACCTATAATGGTTTACTTTCATAAAATTTTGACTTGGATGGAGAGTTGTCTCATTGGCACTCATACCACATCTTCTTATATATATATACATTGACCACTAACAGCCGACACATCCGAAGATATTGCAACCGGGGAAAAACAACGTCGAACAACACACTATTCGCAAAGCCTAATTAAGTACAATCACACAATTTGGTCGATGTCAAAGATAGTATTCATTCAAAATATTTGCTATTTAAATGTCTTTTATTAATATCTATACACTATCATGGTTAAATATAGATAGGATAAAAAAATACTGGAAATTCCCTCTAATTATTTTAAATCTTCTTTTGATATGAATGATTATATTGTAAAGTCTCAATTTTCCACGCGTTTCAAGAAAAAGCTCGAACATACTGTTTAATTTCACTTTGAAATACTTTTCATTTTGAATTTATGGACTAAAAATGGGTAGAATATAGCCATTACCGTACCCAATACTTATAGTCACTAAAGTATATTATGTTTCTCGTTTAAACGTCGTATTCTTACAAGCATTGCATAACAATTTCTAATTCAGATCAGCTGAATTTGAAAGACGTATCAGATATAAAGACTTGAGGTCAAGCTACCGCCTTGGTAGCGATCTACCAACTTCACCTGCATATGGGATATACATTTCCCAACTAATTTGGTGTTCAAGAGCTTGCAGATGCTACCCAGACTTTATAAAACGTCACCAGTGTCTGATCAGAATTGATTAACCAGGATTATGTGAAAGAACGTCTCGTTTTTTTTTTTTAAGTTTATCAGAAGATGCCAAGACCTTATTGATATATATTCCGTATCAACTTCACAAATAATACATGATGGCCTTGAAGTATAGATTCGAGGTGCTGACATTGTTTATCATCTTAGTTACGTGTTAGTGTTCTTTTATTTGTCTGTGTAAATTTTTTGACCTTTACTTTTAGTCCGTTTTTGGAAATACCCTTTTTGCGTGGCTCGGTACTTGTACATACCGTCATTGTGTTGTTGTGCTGTGGTCATTTTTTGCATTCTTGTCTTTCGTTTTTGCTTATGTGCTTAATCTATATGCCATTTTGTTTTTCTTTGTTGACATATTTGTTTGTTTTATAGTGATTGAGATTATAACACAATGCTGACTGCTTTACCCCTATTTTGACATTATTACCTATTGTGTCTGTTTGTTTTGTTCACACATTGTTGTCAATATAATGGAATTTTATGCGACTTTCATACAAGTGAGAAGATTAGCTGGCTCTTAAACCAGGTTTAATCCACCATTTCTACATAAAGAAATGCCTGTACCAAGTCAGGTATATGACAGTTGTTTTACATTCGTTTGATGTGTTTGAGCTTTTGATTATCTATAAATAAACATGCCATTGATATTTTTTTAGAAGTATACTTACATTACGAAACCAAATGACATTAATTTTCCACAAAACCCTGACTTTGAAAGGATCACACCACCGAATAATGATCGTAAGTATAACTTATATAATATAAATTAACAGTACTATGCATGTGTATATTTTATTTAAATAACGGTTATTACTGTGTTGCTGAATAAAAGAAAATCCGTTGTATACAGGTAATATTTTAAAGTATCAATTTTGTAATAATTATAAATAGTAACTTATACTTCAACTTTTTGACAAAATATCAATTTCAGACGTTTTTGATTGTTCTGTTGAAAAACAAAAACCCAACAAAGATACCAGGCTTGAAACTGTGAACGCCAGACTCGCGTTTCGTCTTCAAAAGCCTAAACAGTGACGCTGGAATCAACAAGGTTTAACAAACAAATAAAGTGTGAAGTGGAAGAGCGTTGAACACCAAAATTCTAAAAGGTTTTGCCAAATACAGCTAGGGTAATCTTGAAACCCTTTTGCTTTCGTGCTTTCAAATGTTTTATATGTTTGTCTTACAAAACTTTTGGTACCGAATATCATTAAAGAACACTTGTCAATGAAAATCAGTATAATACTCAAATATCTAAATGTAAAAAAATATTTGTATAGCTGTTTTTTGTATTTAAACAAAAATGAAAAACCGATGCTCCATTATATTCTCGCGTAATATAAAAATTAGAAATTATAATGTATACACATATCTTTCTGTTACAGCTTTTTGTCTGTTTCATTTTCCTTGCACAAACGCGAGTTTCATGAAACCCTACAACGGAGAATATATTGTAAACTGCGTTTTTGATTTACCTGCATAAGTTACAAGAACTTGTGCTATGAATGATACTAATTACCATTATAATTTGACTGTGCTTCATCATTTGGATATAATTGCAATCAAGTTTGCTCAGAACATTGCGCCTTCGATTGTAAAGATGATTGTACCCAATTTTCAATAACGATACCTAAATCTGGTATTCTTCTACTTGAGATTGGTGATAACTGTTTACCAAATGATAGATATCTTGAAATATGGAATGCAACGATTCACAGAAGGGGTAAAGTCAGAATCAAAGGAACAGAGAACAAAAAGACAATTTTTGCAATGTATAAGCAATTAAAACAAACAACGGTATGAGATACTAAAAC